GAATGTTAATTGTAGCAAAAACATATTCTATGAATCAAAGTACATTAGACTACATAATATAAATTATTAAATAAATTATATTTTTTAATATTATTAGTTGTCTTTTTATTTAATAATTTTTATTTAATAATTTAAATATTTTTGTTTGTTGGATTAGACAAAATTTTTAACTATTACTTTCAAATTGTTATATCAGTAGTAAGATTTCCTAGTTATGGTGAGATTTTATTAAAGGTAAGCATCGCACCTCTAGAACATAAATAAACAATGATATATATACAATACTAGGACTGTTACTTTACAATTATAATATATTATTTATATTATTAAATAAATAAATACATATCTTATGTACTATTATACTTAAGTAGGTGTTTAAATAAAAAGGAATTTAGACACATCATGTGATATTGTAAAAAATATATCACAAGAAAAATGAAAAGCCAAAGGGACCCGGTAGTTGCGAGCCTTGCGGCTAATGGGTAATTAGTTGGGGACTTTGACCATGACCACTACAAAATTTAGATAGAAATTTTGATGATTCCTTGGCATCATTGACCCCAAGAAAGCAACCGGTTTCCCGCGTTTTGCTTTCCATTTTCCCCTGTAGCATCTTCTTCTTGCTCTGCATCTGCCCCTCTAGATTCAGGGCAAAAGAACATACCCAAAACGTACCCCCAGAATCCTTTCACTTGTAAAGAAAAAGAAAATGATCCCATCAACCTTCTCACCAAGTCCACATCAAACCACATGAAAAATTCACAAACTAGACTAGAATCATGGACTGTCCTTTGGTCCGATGCGGTAGAAAATCAATCATTCCAGATTCCATGTTGACAATTTTTTTGTTAGTCTAGACTGAAAACTCGTTTACTTGTAACAAGAACAATTTAATCAAATCCTTTTCATTATCACTTACAAGGATACAATCTTTCAATCTTACGATAAATTAATTACAACCACTTAAAAGCAGCAACCTATTAATTATGTAATACAAACCTATATTAGATATACCTGCTAAGCATGTGAAGGTTAGCAGTTTTCACAGAGAAGTAGAACACTGAGTTCCTTGCCTTGAGCTCAAAGGACCTGTCTGGACGGTCGGTACAAACGTCATAACAGAGACGCAGTTAACGTTGAACCTATACCGCCCTGAAACCCAAGTCCCCACCTTCCACCTCAGTTTCCCGTTCAATTTCAGGTTCAGGACGAGTCTTCCGGCAATCTGATCACGTCGCAGTTCATATTCAAATGAGGAAGCCACCGGCAGCCCTGTTCCTTCCAAAGATGCCGTTAACAGGTTGCTTTCTCCATGGTCCTGGTAGAAAGGAGGAAAAGAAGTATCCAGAGTTATCTGTTGCCCTTTATAAGCAGCATAAGCCTGTAACTCATCGTAGTAAATGCCAACTTTTTGATTGGGGTTTTTGGATAAGAGGGTAAGTTGGATGGAGGAATTGAGAAGGTGAGGGCCGGAGAGACTAAACTGGTAGATATCGGCCTCCCTGAGGAAGAACTCTGGTTTTGCAGGGTGGAGGATGAGCCAGAAGAGTAAGATTACAGCTAGAAGTATGGTGAAAGATGAAGAGAGAGTGAAAAACAACTTCTTCTTCTTGTAGAACTTGTCGATGCTGAGTCTTTCTTTCTCTGCACAGTGTTGGGGAGATTTTGAGAAGACTTGAGACATTTGCAGGGGAGAAAGGGAGAGAAGAAATGAGGGTTTAACACAAGGAAAGGGAAACAGAGGTGATGGGGGTTAATAAAGGGAGAGAAGTTGAAAAACAGACAAAGCAGAGCAATTATTTTGCTTTTGACTGGTAGATGCTCTTAGTGGTGGGACCTAGGAAGTTGCTTACTTGTAGATATTAACCTATAAATCTTCTCGAATGCATCTCTAGATCAATGGTTATAAATTAATTTAAGAGGTTCAAGATGGATCAAGGACGCGTGGCCGAGGTCAAGGAGCTCTGTATCAGTTTTTTTTTTATTTTTGACAAAAGTAATGGTTAGGAAATCAGTAGAAATTAATTGTTAACAATTAATTTTTAAATCTGGTAAACATTTCACCCTCTCAAATGAGGCGTGCGGCTATCAGATTGCTTTTTGGTAGAGTTCACGACGGTAATGTATTTCAAAACTTCTACCACGTTACCCAAATACTTAAGACTTTGAGTCAAATCATTGAGTCTAAACACCCAATTCCTCTGTATCCGTTTGAGTTCATGCCTTCATGGGCATACTTGAATGTTAATTGTAGCAAAAACATATTCTATGAATCAAAGTACATTAGACTACATAATATAAATTATTAAATAAATTATATTTTTTAATATTATT